TTTTCAAAAACATTTGTAATATATGAATAACTGAGAAATAGTTCCAATAATTATTGTCCTAAAGTTTCAAGCAAAAACTTTTATATTTTTTTTCTAACAAACATTTTGTAATTTTTATATTAGTCTTCTATTCATCCCTGCAATTCGAATAAGACTAATTACAATAAATAATTTGGACGTCATTCATTCAAAAAAGAAACTGATGTTTTGGCAATTATTTTGCAACAAACCATATAATTCTTAAAATTTTTCTAAAGCATAATATTGTTGTATGCTTGGTGATCCTTCCTTATCTGATATTTATTTGAATAACGATACCATTATTATAAAGCGCTTATTACAATGAGAAGATATGAGTTAAAAGAACACTTAACAATAAGAGTCTAAAGTTGAGATTTCCGTCTATCTTATCGTAAAAAAAACGAACTGTTTGTAGTCTTATAATAGAATCTAGGCCAGTTGTATTGCGCCTGACTTCAATCAGATCTTCCGATGCCTTCAGAATGAATTTAAATGCACATGAAAAACTTATAATATTAAACATTAATAAGAAGCTTCCCCACCTTTGGTAGTTAGGAAGCAAACCAAATCGGAAAAAGTAACTTTTTATTTTTTGTAAACGTCATATAATTTAGCCTTTGACCTAAGCAGAACTAAATAAATAAAAAATATGAAATAGTGCCGAAAATAGAAAAATCAAACTATTGACTTTTATTGAGTAGAAGGAGTGAAAAAAAGGGTGGGACCTTTTAAGCTAGCTCCCCTAAAAAATGCAATGTCGCAAACCTGATTTAATTATTATTTAAGTATTAAATTATATATTAATTTAACCACTTTTATTGTATGAATACAGTTGTTTAATTTATTTTAGTAATTATATGAAAAAAAATGTCAATCGAACTACAATACATAATAGAAAATACAACATTAATTCGTGGATATATATAAGGTCATAGCAATAAAAAACGCAAAATGTCCTGAATATCATCGTTGGGTATTTTACATCTTAAAGCTTGGAATAGTGTTCCCAGTTTCAATACATCAAAAAAAAAAAAAATCCTTTTTTTCTCTCATTTCTGAATAGATGTATTGAGTTGAAAATGTATTTTATTACCTTTTATCAATGCATGTTTATAAAGTAAGGCTGAAATATGGTTGATATTATACTGCATGGCAGCCATATACATCAGGCCAAGCTAGACTCAGGCCACACCCCATGTTCCTAAAACCTCCCAGGTGCACCGTTATTTCAAGTTTTTATCTAAATATGATTTTTTTTTTTTTATTATTTAAAAAGTGCAATATCATTACTATATACGCTCTTTATTACTCGAATAATAAAAACTCAAAAAGTCATGGTTTTCTAGCTATGATCTATCTATGTATGTACACATACAAAACACGTAAAGGATTTTTGAAAGACCAATATCCAATATATTAAAACTATTTTAATCCTTATGTTTACTTCTCATTGCCCTATCTTTGTATTATTTAATGATCTTATTAAAACAAATTTACATAACGAATATAATTCTCCTGTGCAAGTATACACTTAACTTAGAAATTATACTTAATGAGTTAATATAAAAAATAATCTAAAGTGACGATGTCAGATATTTCCTAATTTTGCTGTCAACAACGTTAGCAGTTACAGTTAAACAAATACAAACTACAGTTACTAAACTTATTTCTTTGACCTTTTATTCAATCTAGAAAGGAGGGGACGTGCTGTTATTATTTTAATCTGAATAACAGACAGAAATAGCATTGGAGAAAATAACAGTCTAAAATAACATACTTAGTCATACAATTCAAAACTTATGAGATTCGACTCTTTGATATTTTATTTGAACTCGTTTCGAAACCTTATTATAATTTGTAGTTGCTATATTTTCAACCTATATATTATATATATATATATATATATATATATATATATATATATATATATATATATATATATATATATATATATATATATATATATATATATATGTATTATACAAACAAGTTTATAATGACCGTCATGTTTTATTTTACTTTTATTTTACTTTTTTTTACTGTTTATTTTACTTTTATTTTACTAATATATATATATATATATATATATATATATATGTATTATACAAAAAAGTTTATAATGACCGTGTCATATTTTATTTTACATATACGAAGTGGGACGGACCTTAACAAAGACACAACATTTCTTATTTTCACAATTATTTCCCCCTTAATATGGTTATGAATTGGCAATAGGAATAATTATAATTATATAATAATATAAATTGGCAATAAGACGCGATGTATAATATAGATTTTTAAAGAAATTTTGTCAGCTGTGGTTCCGTTCCGTTTATTTTATGCTGATAAAAAATAATGCAATCTGAATTACAGAATGCATGTAAATTACAGCTATACAATTTAAGCATCGAGTAGTAGTACAATTAAATTAACGGTTGTATGATTCGTAAATTTGTGGTTGGTCCGTCGTTAGGCGGATAAGGTGATCACCCTTGTAAAATAATATTTAAAAAAAAACATTAATAATAATCCGATTTTAAGTTTCATGTAAATCTAAGTTATAAATAAACCGATAGTGTACGCTACAGACATGAGATGAAGAGCTTAAGGCATTTATGAGGATCTATATTGATTCGATAAGTTTGATAACGTTCATAAAGTAGTTTGGCTTCTCATCGAACTTAAAAACTTTATTTTTCAAAATATAAAATTTCAATATACATATTTTTAATTTTATATATTTTTTTCATTAAATTCTGAAAGTATCGTATTTATTTATGGTAAAGTCGTTAATGAAAAATTTACAGAATTTGAAATATTCTAAGACCCATTTCTATTGCTTTAAAACGAAGGGCATTTAGACTAGAGCATTGTTTTTTTTCTCGATAATTATAAAGAATAAATAAATAATAAAAAATAAAAAGTTAAACTCTCTTTGAGAAGATAATGGGATTAGTTAATGGAGGGTCTGGCCTTTAGAATTGTTATTCTCGTATCAGGGAGCCCACAAATAGTGCTTCATTTGCATTTATCGATATCTCCATCCAGTTGAGAAAAATTCAAGAACAAACAATTCCTAATTTTATCTAAAACTATAGTCCGGTTTTTTTTTTTATTTAAATGATATGGGCTATTCTCGTAAACAAATGTGCTAGCGTTGTATTTTTGCGTCTTTTAATCTCTAACGGAAACGCTTACGTATTTTTTTGACGAACTTTCATCTTTTCAAAAAATGTAAAAAAAATACGTTTTATTTAAAGATTTATCAGACTGATCTCACAAAAGATCAAGGATAGATTATTTAATGGATTAACTTTATCATCATTTTTATAATCACGGAGTATATGGATGAGGTTTTTAAAATATCTTCTGTCGTGGTCGTTTTCCAGTATCATAAAGAAACCCCCTCCACTTTGTCAATACTATTGCAATATCAAACTTAGTCGAGTACATTGACGGTCTGAGAAATATATTGTGACAATTACACTGTTAATTGTAATATACATACAACTTTCATTATATCGTTCGCCACGTAAGAGGTGCTTAACGATCTGTCTTTTGAACCATTGATGTAACTTCAGTGTCCAATCCAGATCATTACGGAACGAAAAGAAATTCCACAAAAAAATATTTAAGATGATGTGAATGCAGTAAAAAAAGATATTAAACAAAAACTTAGGTGGGTGCTTTAGACCACACCATATAAATAAAAACATCAACTAAGCGACATTATTAATACGAAGTATAAATTATAAATAATAGCTCATTTTAAAGAAGATGAAATGCTGAATATTACTACGTACGATTCTTACTTTCTGGGATATTTTAATCCGTATCTTACTTTACAAGTTGGATATCATTTGGTTTTCGACACTATTTTTTCTCTTTTCGCCTCCCTAACACGGCTTCGTGTTAATATACAATCTTGAATAATAGTCTGTTACAGAGAGGATGAAATGCTGAACAATGCCCTCGCTTACAGTATCAGTATCATTTGGTTTTCGACACTATTTTTTCCCTTATCGTCTCTCTAACATGGCGTTGCTGCGTTAAGATGCGGTTTTGAATAATAGCTCATTACAAAGAGGATAAAGTGATGATCATTTCCCTTGCTAGCAATACGAAAGTCCAATTTTTAGTTTTTGAGATATTTTAATCAGTATGTAACACTTCAATTAGTCGACTACAGCCGACTTTATCCGAGCGTTACACATCGCTAATTCACTCTCTACAAAAAAGTGTAAAATGTGTCTTAGTAAGTTTGCACTTAAAAAATCATCGCTATTAACCGGTTTAAACAGAAAGTATCGAAAAATTATTAAAATTTTGCTTATAACAATACTTAAAATTTCAGAGTAAACTCAGATTAAGGGAGTTGCTTTTTTCCTATAGTTACTGCTTTTTAGTCTCTGCGGCATATTTGTTAATTTTTCTATCCATCTGCTTTTTGGCCTAATTCGTGATTTTCACTTTACACTTGTGTAGACCCTTCCTAGTCAGAATCAGTTGATAGCTTCGATCTGGAGGTCCCATCCATCTTAATCTCTTTGATTTTATATTAGGAAATATAAACTGGCCAGTTTCTGTAAGCAATGTCTTTTTTTTTCCAACGCTTAACAGCCCGCTAGTAAGAAAACTCTGGACATCGCGTGAACTTCTAACCCGAAACTTTCGTTGTTTTTTTTTTTAGGATGCTGGATTCCAGGTCTTAGGAGGCAGTAGTACGTGAAATATAAAGAAATATTCATTTTTATTTTGTTTTATTGTATGTATATATATTGAATTCCATAAAAAAAGCTTCGTTTCTCAAACAAACATTTGTCATTGACTACAGAAAACTTATTCAATTATCTTCCTTAATTTTCATTCCATTTCTTGGAATTCATGAACTAACAAATTATTTAAAATACATATATTTAGTCACATTAGTAGTTCTTAAATAAGTATATCAATTTGGAGAAACGTCAACAGGTTTTAAACAAATAAATACAAATTACTTCGTGATAAAAGAATTCGTTTTTAATAGATTTTTTGACCGTTTTTTAAAAATAAAATACAATCATAAATCATATCATGAAGTGATTTTTTTTATTTAAAAAAATGTAATAAAATTTAATTTTAGAACTTCTCTAACAAGAATAAAAAACTAAAATTTATATAAAAACTATAAAATCAGAATTATATTGAACTGTAACACAAATTTTAAAATCATTCATCAATTACTAATTATTAGTACAAAACTACTTACTGTATGCTTAACTATGTCTAGGAAAACGACTCAGCACAAACTTAAAAAAGAAAAACGACAAACTGACGCTGTCTACTTTATCATTCGTTCAAACGTTCACAAAATTTATTATAATAGTTTATTTAAACTGAAACAAGAGGATAGAATTTAAGAGTTCAGCAAAACTCACCTGCTTATTCAAAACAAAAACCACGACATAAATCCTTCGAAAAATTTATATCGCATCCTATTTCATTTCAAATAACTGTAGGAAATCGTGAATGGCGAATAGGGCACCAAAATGTCACTATTCATGTTAAAACATATCCACTAGTGAATATTCCTGTCAAAACATATCCACTAGTGAATATTCCTGTCAAAACATATCCACTAGTGAATATTCCTATCAAAACATATCCACTAGTGAATATTCCTGTCAAAACATATCCACTAGTGAATATTCCTGTCAAAACATATCCACTAGTGGAATCTCTCTGTTATTTTACCTGTTATTCGGTGAATCTGAACGTCGACTAAAATCTACTGACTCAGGTATCTCCTGATTTGTAAATACAATTAAAGCAATTTAAGATTCCCACGATCGTTCGATTCGAAAAGTAAGCAAAACATCGAGCCTTCTAGGGGAGTTGAGACGCAGTTACATATTATGATGAGCAACGTTTTCCTAACCTAGGTAATAATGCTGTAATAGTGATATAAATGCATTATATGCAAAACAACATAGTATTTAATATTGTGTCTTAAAAAAAATAATCCATACCATCGGATAAGAGCAAGGTAAGTCATGTATGAACTAAGGGGCTAAAGATATGTCCGTTTAACAAATATTGAATCGTTTTTTGCCAGGATATTTTGGTTTATTTACCGGAGTGTTTTTGAGATAGCCATAGCCTATATACGCTATATTCCATGATTTCACTTACATCTCGTGACATATGCAAATGATGTATGATTTTAGATCGATACTGAACCAGTTGAGGGCCTTGATACCAAGTAAGTCCAAATTTTCAAATTTATTTTGTAATGCGTTTTGCTCTGCGGACAATGTTGATGTTTCAATTGGTGCAAGAACCGAACACGAGTGTAACATCGGTTCTCATAGTGTAACATAACGTAAGAAAGACTACGTCTTTGACTCAATATAAACTCTGTTATTGGTTAGTGCAAACTATCTTAGAGGATTTTCATTTTAAAATTTATATTTCAAAATTTTCTCTCACCAACAATTTTTTTTAAAGAAAAACAAAGGTTCAATCGTAGCTCCTTTTTCACATTGAATCGACTAAATTGCCTCCTTTCCCATTTGAAGTCTGTAAGTTTCTGGTTACTTTCTTAATATTTCCATATTTTGACTTGTATGAAGAGTTGAAGTGGTTTTATCCTTCCTATCTTCCTTAAGTATTTCCAGGTATTCTTCCTCTTCCAAGTTCTTGATCTCCGCGTCCATCATACATACATCTCCAAGTACCTTCAAAATTCAAATTCTCTGTTCTCGCAATACCCGCTATTCCCAAAGCATTTCTATCTCTTCCCAAATCGTCGCACAGTTGGACGAGTATGGGAAAACTCGCGTCATCGGCTAAATCTGTTTCTATTCTATTTTCATTTGAACTATCCAATAAAAACAGTGAACAATTTATATTCTTCCAACTGAAAATATTCTCGACAACTCCACAAGGTATCGATAAAACAGTTTATCTAGTTTTGGGGGTTCTAAAAAAAAAAAAAAAAAAAAAAACCCCATGCCCCACTGTGCGTCGCTCCAATCTCCTCTCCACATTTAAATCCCGTCTATTCAACCAAAGTCTGCCCTTTCACTTTCTAAAATGTCAATATAAATTGTTTGTTGGTTTCTTGTTTTTTTCTAATTTTCTAATCTTTTTTATGTTAATATAAGAAGGTACGTTATAGTTTCTTATTATTTCTATTTATTTAACTTTTATGTCCTTTTTTTTTTACACTGAGGCTCTGAAACTAAGAATTTTCTTACTTTATTTTGTTTAAAATAGACTTTAATTATTAAAGAGTGTATTATTATTATTAAACATTTATGACTTACTTGGTCCTTGCTTGAACTCCTTCAGTAGCAAGGTAATCCGATCGAAATGTTTGGAACCTAATTAAAAGAGAAAATATATTTTAAATATCACAACTTCTTTTTATTTGCATAACTAATAAAAATAAAAATACATCTTTATTACAATATTTCTATATAATATTGGTAACTTTTATTTTCCAGTAACAGCAGATTGATAGTACAAAGATGACCAGGTCATTGTGGGTTTTCGGCTACGGCTCACTATTGTGGTCTCCAGGATTCCAGTTCACAGCAGCACAACCTGGAGTACTCAAAGGGTTCTCCCGCAGATTCTATCAAGGAAACGAAACCCATCGCGGCCGACCTGGAAAGGTAGGTTGTCTAATCATTAATCATTAAAAAAAAAACTTCATTAAGAATGTTTTTTACCATTAATTAATCATTTAGTTGATAGCCAATCAAAATGTCGAGGCATCTGCTAATCAAGTTCTTACCTCAAGCACTTAAAACCCAAGGTGTGTTACCTATCAACTTTCCAAATTAGCAATGCAAATTGCTATGTTTTACTATCTTGAAGCTAGAAAGAATGGCACTTAAAGATAAACGCTTTTGTACCTTTTTTTAAGTCAAGGCTAGTTTTGTATTATTGTATTGTAATCTATAAAAAGGTATCATCAAGACGAGATACTGATGCGCAGTAAACATGCTTCACTGACTTTCTATCGGTATTGCTTATTATTATAAAATATGGTGGTAATGGTTTATAGTTAAAATCCAATCAGAATACTTGAGATCATTGATCTACGGTTCGCCATTTTTAAACCAATAAAAATAGCCCTCTTGAACAGAGCTTTTGGCAAAAGGGATCATCGGAAGAAGAATGTTTAAGTAGTATCGCAGTTGGAGCTTATCCAATCCCATTCTTTAATTATATTTATAGTTTTATTTATCGAATTGTTATTAACATTTTGAATATGGGTTCCATACAATTGAGTCCTTGAAACACTTTTAAAGCGAAAGCGTATCAAGTAGTGTATTTCCGATAAATTGAAAAAAAAAAAAAGAACTTACAAAAAAGTTACAGGTATATTTATGTATAAATATCTATCCAAAGACGTACTTTAATAGTTTCAAGATATATATAAGTGAATGATAAAACGCAGATTTGTTGCAAAAAGTTACTAGGTAACATTCCAGAAATTATGACTATGTACTTTGATTAAGTTGTATAACATGTAATAAAAAAAAAAAAAACTATGTTGCTACATTTGATACATAAGAGTTGATGTTATTTACACGCAGATATATATTTTCATCGGGAACTAAAGTCAAACTTTATAAATATGCACTTAATAGTAGCTTCATCAAAGTGTCTTTTTACAATAAATCTTTTTTTTTTTATAGAAAGATTTTTTTGAAGCGAAAACTTATTCAGGCCAGTTTTGCACTTTTTTTGTGGATAGTTATTACATTGAGCCGTCAGATTTACGATTAGTATTGCTCAAATGCGAGACCGAGACGAGTCTTACTTAGAGATATTACTGTATTTTTTTAGATTTATGAAACCTAACTAAGTCTAAATGAAAAATTAGAAGACTTAAATCCCAAAGTATATTGGTTACACCAATTCTTTACATACAGTAACTAAAATTGTCAAGTATTAGTTACTATTTTGCCTCAATTTTTTTTCAAAAAATCGATTCTTTTTTACCAGTCTTGGTCTTGGTCTTGCAATAGATAGGTAGTGTTGGTCTTGGTCTTGCAAAGTGCAAGACCAAGACCGATTTTGGGCAACACTATCTATGATGTGTACCGCTCGGGTAATTTCGGCTAGAGTCGACTAATTGAAGTGTTTTAGCAAATGGATTAAAATATATCAAAAATTAATAATCGGGCCTGTATACAGTAAGCGAGGGAATCGTTTTGCATATTATCCTCTTTCTAATGTGCTATTATTCAAAATTATATCTTAACGGTAAGCCGTGTTAGAGAGGCGAAAAAGAAAAAAAGTGTAGAAACCAATGATAACGAGTTTTATGGAAGATATGGATTAACATATGGAAGATATGGATTAACATATCTTAAAAACTAAAAATTTGAGCTGCATATTTTTAGCGAGTGAATTGTTCAGCATTTCATCCTCTTTATATTGAGTTATTATTTAAAATTTATATTTTATATTATTAATCTCGCCTTATTGGTGTTTTCACTACTATCGCGTGTTCTAAACCACACACCTTAGTTGGTTTTTTTTCTATGGCATTTGTCTCTTATTTAATGGAATAAAAATTATGAGAAGGATTTTTGGTGGGGAGGGACGATCAAATAAATACTAAATTTTGAAAAGTATTTTATTTTATTATTTAAGCACCCCTCCCCCTCCCCTGACCAACTTCTTCTTATATTATATCACGGTCAACCATCTCTACATCATTCGGAATAAAAATGAAATATATAAGTTTATAATTGGAGAAATACAACCACAGAGCCTTGTATATCTAAAATGCAGGTACAAAATAGACTTCCCCGTGAACGTTTCACAAAATCACATCACTATATCGTCCAAACACTAAATATTAGAATACGTGTGTGTGTTTTAAGATGTCACTGTATGATGTGGTTTAGTTTTTTTTTTATATTATACCGATGCTTGAAACATTGTATGTATATGTACATGAGAAAGACAGATAAAAAAAAAAAAAAAAAAAAGGAAAAAAGACTAACTAACATTATATAATAAAAATATTGGTTCCTGTAACGAACGTGCTTCCTAAGCCATTTTTTATAAATAACGATCATTAATTTAAATTTTATATTTTTAAAACTATTTCCTTAGCGAGAAATACTAATAACCATTTCCATATCCTTGAATTACACCTCATAAAATTTATTTTTAAAAAAAGTTATATATCCGCGTTATTATATTGTTTTACCGCGCTTAATATCACGTTTTCAAGAAGAAACAGCTTTTCATTAATTGAGTTTAATTCTTCTTTCGCCGAAGAGCTATTAAAGATCACAAGCTATTTCAATCGAACAAAAACATCACATTTTACTTGAATTCCGATCCAAAATAAAAGCTCTATCGATAAATAAGTTAATATTTTGTTTTATACTGTTGATCGTAACATCATACGATTTAATGGAAACAAGAATGTAAAATCGAAAATGAGATCAAGATTTCCAAAGGCCAAGGTTATCTCTTATAAATAATTGATTTATTTCTTCTGAAAAGATTATGAAATGAAGTGTGGTAACGACGAGGATTTCTGTACATTTTAACAAAAGAAAAAGCAGTCGATAAGATAAATAAAATATCAAATAACTTCTAACCAATTTATTTTAACAATGTTTATAGTAAAAAAATAAATAAAAACCCAAACAAAGTATAATGATAATTCATTATCGAAGAACATATAGATCTTATTAACTAAATAGTACAAACAATAATACTTGAATCAATTCAGTGAAAATATTTCGCCTCGTCTTATCCTTCCCGATACCTGACATGACGCTAATTTATATAATAAAATACGCAAAAAGCATGGTTGAATAAAATGGTTTAAGGATGGCTTACCGGCCGAAACGTAGTTATGTTAATTAAAATAAATATGGTGAACAAATAAACAGAGCTTTATTTTATAATATTCAAAAATGTTCATCTTAAACAAGCTATATGGACGCTAATTTAATTATTTTTATCAGACCATTTGCTGGTTATCAACAGCATTATAATTTTTCAAGGTAAAAAAACAAGAAAAACATGTTAGTTAATCTTGACGTGGAATTAATAATATGAACTTCATTAATTATATAGTCCGCGGTACAGACCTCTTTTTATTGAATTATTAACATCTGCCTAAAACTTTGGAAATAGTTTCATCTAATTGTAACCTACAACTATTTTATTTTTGAAAACTCTTGGAATTAAGGCGTTTTCAATCTGGAGGGAGGCAAACTTTGTATATTTCATTAGGTACTAAAAACTGCTAAATATCCATTTGCTTTCTACTTGGATTTTAAGATAATTTGATCACAAAATCGATAAAAAACGTGCCCTTCAAAAATATTAAGGCGTTTGGCGTAACCTTCACTCCCAAATTTTCAAAATAACGAGGTTATATAGGACGAACGGCCCAATACTTTTGTAGGCCACATTTTTTCCCCCGATTTCGTGATCAAATCATCTTACAATTCAAGTGGAAAGTAAATGGGTATTTATGAGATTTTAGTATCTAATTAAATAAACAAAGTTTGACGGTCTCCAGATTGAAAACGCCCCAATTCCGAGAATTTTCGTAAATCAAATAGTTGTAGGTTACGACGTGATGAAACTATTTACGAAGTTTTAGGTGGATGTTAATAATTTGATAAAAGGGGACCTGTACCACGGACTAGTATACATATAATAATATTATCATATTCATACTTATATAAATCGAAGTAAAGTCATGGATAAATTATATTGTTATATTAAAGAAGTTAGGCTTTGTGAGTATTTCTTTTTTCCACTAGAAAGTGAGATCAGGGTTGATCTATTTTTCCATGCCTATTCTTACCGAATAGAGCCTTGACACAAGAAAATAGTAATACGCAAAGCTTTCTATGAACTGCCAACTGCCAGGAAAGATATTATTTATCGTTAAAATATGTATGCATGGATACATGCAGAGACAGTAAGCTGAAATACTGAAGGATACTGTATAGGAAATCAGAATAAAATGTTTCGGTAACCACTAAGGATAAAGTTTGTGTTTTAGAGTCTTGTTAAATCTTACCGGATAATAATAATGGCAGCAGAAACCGAAATTTCAGGGAAAAGCTACTTCGTAACACCTCAAGGCGCAACCTTCTGGACATCGAACCCGCATCACACAGATTTGAGCCTCCCTGATTTTCCTCGATATTGAGCCTTTCCAAGTTTCTTATTGCCATTTATCCAAGAATGCTAAAAACTCGAATGTGTAGAGATAATCTGAACCATCCTCTCATCTCGTTGCCCCGTATCCAATCACAACCAAAACGTAAACTTTAGTCGACTCCGATACCTCACACCTCACCGGAGCTTTCTATTATATGAATTTCATACATGGAGCACTGCCTCATAAATATGTATCAAGGTTACATCGTTGCCTCAAACGTATGCGGGAGGAAACAACAACAGTTGGCACTTTCAGGAGTCTATCACGTGATGAGGATGAGGTTGATACTCCGTGGTAGGCCAAATTATTTTTTTTTTTTTCTAAATACAATTAATGTAGTATATTTTGAAGAATACATAAAAATAAATAACCGGATGTAGAAAAAAAAAATTGAAGAGATAGTTCTTGGGTTCGAAATAACTTGGCAAGAAAGAATTAAAAAAAAAAAGG